ACTTGCGTCTTTATTCTCCGAGTATATATGTTGTTTGTTTGCTTGTTTGTTTTTTCTTGCGTTTTCTTCCCATCGCTAGCTTGCCTGCTCATCATGGCGCCCCACCGGCTTTGGTGTGACTCCTCATTTTCCCTCTTCTCGCCTTTAGAGCTCGTTTTTTTTTGGCACGCAGTGAGTTTGTGCAGCCACAGCCCACAGTTTCGTTTTTTTTTTGTTACTGTTCTCTCTCTCTCCCTCTCTCTCTCCCTCATACACCCCCGTTCTGCCTCCCTTCCGTGTTTACTTCTCCCCCTCTTGTCGCAGCTGTGGATTTGCCCTTTGGCTTCTCTCACCTGCTTCACCATTCATTCCTCGTCCCCGCCCGCCGCCCTGTACATAGCACCGCATGCACGAAATCACGGAAGAAGACCCCCCCCCNAGACCCCCAACAACAGCCATCACAGAAAGCGAAAAGGGGGGAACCCGAAACACGATTCAAACCAAAAGAGTGCACTCCGTCTGTCATACAAACGCACACGCATGCCACACCAGTGGTTACAATCAGAAATAAAAATAAAATACAAACGGACTACCACATCAAATACAATCGCATATGCGAGCCTTAGTTCCCAAGACGTGCCCTCTCACAATGGGAAGGGACTTTTTTTTTCTTCTTCGTATTTTGGCGCTGTTCCTGAGCAGCCTGCAGGAGATAATTGCGGCAACGTGTACCTCACATCCGTGTGCCGTTGTGCGCATGCGCCCTCCTGATGATGTACACTCACACCACGGTGCGGTCACAGCAACTCCGTCAGGAGCGGCGCTGGGCACACAAAGCCAGGGCGAGCGGTCGTGAACGTGACGGGCAGACACAGCTACCATATCCCCACCCACCCCGGCCAGCACCTCCCACAGAACCACAGGCAGAGAAAGAGACGCCTTCTTGCACTTCTCCCTAAAGCCAACACACTGAACACCGCACAGGCGGGCACACAGAGTGTGAGGAGCGCAGAGAGAGAAAGAAAGCACGCAAGCACGCAAGCAAGCAAGCAAGCAAGCAAGCAAGCAAAGAAGAAAAAAAAAGCTCCGAAGGGACGAGCAGAACGCTGAACGACGCCTGTCCCCCTTCCCCTTCCCAACGACAACAAAAAAAACCAGCGACAATAACAACACCAAACAAGAACAAAAAAGGAATAGGACACAACTGAGAGCAGGGACCCCACACATACACACAGACACACACAGAGACACTGACTCAGAACACGGCGATCACTAAAAGGAAAGAAAAAACCGATGAATGAAACGAAGAAGCAAACAAGGAACACGCCCACAGCGACACGAACACACCGGGCACAGGGGGTGGGGGCTGTAACACAGAGCTCTCTAGACAGAGAACAAAAAAAGCAATCTGCGCTGTCTTCACAGAAGCACTTTCTCCTTCACCGCCTGTTTCTTTGGCTTACATTTTTTTCCCCCGCTTTATCGATCAACTTTCATTTTACTCTCTCTTCGTAGCAATGTTTTTTTTTCTGTGTGTTGGATTGGCTCACTTTTTTTTCTTTTGGTGTTCTTCTTTCCCCGCCCCCCTGCGTGTGTGTGTTGCGCCGATTCGGCTGAAGTGATTCAGACATGCATCTGTGTTTATTACCTCTGACTTCCTGTCTCATGTTATTCCCCCCCCCCTTCTCCCCTCAGCCCTCCGTTTACCGCGCGCCCGCAAAGGGGGACACGGGGAGGCCGATGCGCGCGGTGCGTGCGGCCACATGCCGATTGGCACGAGTGTATGTATGATTCTTTTGCTCGTGGAGGTTGGCACCGCCGCTGCGCATGACTTTGTACGCCCCCGTATACATGTATATATATATATACATTTGCTACGGATACGCACAGGGCACATTGTTATCTTTTTTTTGTTTCTTTGTTTTTCTTTTTTCCTCTTCTTGTTTGACATTTGTTAAAATGTTTTTTTTTTTCATCTTTTCTTCATCCGTTCGCTCATTCTCTCCGGCAACGTCCAAAATAATAAAGTACATGTGTACTCTTTTGTAGATGAAGACCGAATTCATAAAGTGTGTGTGTGTGGGGGGGGAGGTGCGTGTGGGTGTGCAATCGGAAGAAGGGAAATAAAAACAAACAAAGGGTACAACACTGTGGAAGATGACAAAAAAA